ATGCTGTTGGGGTTGGGGTTAGGGTTGGGGGTCAGGGTTAGGGGGTGGGGGTTGGGATTAGGGGTTAAAGTTAGGGGTTAGGGCAACTATTTCTCAACCACTCAAAACACAACCGCGCATTTCCAGACGTCGTTATTGGTGCGTTCCCTGACATCACCTGTAAAAACCCCTATTATCAGCGGTCCAGTAAAACAGGCGGTTGTTGTTTGTTTACTTCAGGCGGGGCTACATAACCACATCTGACCGATTTCTGCTTTAAAGCGCCCATGCTTTCGTGTGGTGGCAGGTAAGAAGTTGGGAGATTAGAATGGCCATTTCCGCCGTATTTGCCGTTCTCGAGCGAGTTGGAAGTGCTCTCCGGTTGGTTATTGTGTCTGATCTTCCACCGAAGATCGCCCTCATACTTGCTTGAAATATGCCACCGACGGGGCATATGATTCAGTCGACTCAATTAGGCAATTCCGGTGGGATCCAAACCCAAGGCAGCAAGGTTAAGGCCAAAGTTCTAACCATCTGCACCCAGAAATCCTGACTGAGAGCAGTGTGTTTGATCGCATCTGGTTTTAGGTATCCATCCAACCTACTACGGCATTTGGAATCCATCAATTTTGATACAGTAAGGTGACTGCCTAAGTAGGATTTCCTAAGCAGCTAGCTAGCAGTCCGCCAGATGACTATCGGCTCACTTGTTTATGGCAAATTTGTATGATTCATTTGATCCAAAAAGACATCTAAAGCATAAATGGTCATGCCAGTCACCTTTGTTTTTTGTCAGAAATGCCTCTCAATGCGCCAACGTTTGCATCTGTAAAATGGTCCACCAATGAATTACGAATAAATTTTACAGACGATCACAGTTATCTGGTGATGAATTATCGTGCAGCTCTGCCAATCCCCGATGAGAGAAGACACCAGGAAGCTTAAAACCCACCTGAGCACCCTTCAAAATGTATCGAGACTGCTAGAATGGGTAAAGGTGCAGTTGTTAACTTGAAAATTCATCCTGGGCCTCAATTTCAACGAGTCAGTTAATACACGTCTCTCGGTGAAGTATTGATTTCCTTCGCAGTCTGAATGATGACCTATGGGATCAGTTTGCCGATCAGGTTACGGAACATGCTCGTTCTGTTGTGCCTTGGGGCTCATACTAGTACTCTCGTAGGCAGTCATACAGCGGCCAGTGGTAGTAGAAGTAGATGAAATGGTGCCGACAAAGACAAGGTAGACCAGAATAACCATTTCTGGCTTATTAGCCGTCATTAGTCAGACATATCCGACCCCAAGTGTGAATCACTTGAGTTTCGACCCCCCGGGTCTTTGGTCATGGAGTTTGCCATTCTACCACGGAGCCACAGACCCGCTGTACTGTCGGTTGTGATCGGTTATATCAATTATGGCAGATGGGTGCTCACCGATCAGGCTACGGAAGGTGCTCGATCCGTATAAAAGTACGTAAAAAAGTCTTTTTGAATTTTCGTCTAAAATTATATAAGCAAGGAGTGTTGAGCAATGTTTTCTACTCCTTCTGTGTACTCGCTTACCCATGAAGTTCATGCGTGGTTTAAGTCTAGAGGTAGTTTAATTAGTCAACTTGCGATGAAGGTCAAGTTCCTTAAATGCAACTTTTTTTTAAATTGAACGATCTAATTTCTTATCTTCCAAGTGTTATAAAAATATGGCAATGCGCCCTATTTTCGACCCCCGCCTACACATCTGACTGTAAGACATTAATTATGAAAGAGAGGAAGTTTTAAAGTTTGATACCAGTTCTTGCTGAAAGGATGGGGGTTTGAGCTCTGGAACAAGCATCTTTTTCGTCTGACGCATCGGATGGCAAATAATTTACGATTGATGCTGGAGATGTGGATTTTAACAGGCATTGGGCTTCTTTAAACACTGCACCATTTGCGCCCTTTGTAATTAAATTTTGCTGTCTTTGATGATGATTTCGACGGAGAATCCGAAATGTCGCATGAAGAAATCGAGTCTCTTTCATCTCAAATGTTTCCTTGAACTCGCTCTTTTACTTATGCCAGCAACTAACTGTGACACTTTTGATTTTGTTAGGGAGAGGATTGATCGAGCACCGGAATCATTTGCTTGCGAACTCGCGCAGGAGTTTTTCGTTAATTTAGCATACACAGTCTGTCCCAAAATTATAAGGACGCTGTTTTGGCCAAATATGCGTGGATAGATCTGGTTTTTTTATGTTACTGATATAATGGTTTGTAATAGTGGTTAAAATGGGTGTCCACGATTATAAGGGCACATGCTATCTGGATGTACACGGATATATGACCTGCAGCTGGCTACAGAAATCTAACACGACACTCATTCGTGCTGTTAATCAATCCCCCCCCCCAGCATGCTGAATGATCTCCTCCGGTTTATCCTTCGATTGTCGCAACAAACACGCCTGGGCAACCGTTTCCATGGAATCTCAATTGGGCTGTGAGCAGGGCTCAGAAATTGCCAGGCTACTGCCTCAAATAACTTGCCGGGAAGCATGGGTGTGAGTACCCCCGGTACTACGGAGGGCATTCCGTTAAATTCCAGAGAGGGTAGGGTTACGGGAGTTAGGGCTACAGTTAGGTCATGGAAACAGATACCCCTGGTAATCAGTTTAAGACCATCTCTACTGTGAGGGGAAGGGACACTTTTTTCCATTTCTAAGCGAGTTACTTCCTACTCTCCGCTCCGTCCCCTGGTCAGTGCGGACAGCGTCTGAATATACGACTGAACATTCTGCTTTTTCCGTAAAAACGTCAATTTCAATTTATTGCGCGAAACTGTCACCCAAACCACCGTACCTCCACTTTCACTTGAGCATCTGCTGTAGGCGTTGCAGATCATGCCAACCCAAACTGTCTGGAGTATCCATATTAAGCGCTTTTTTATCATAGGCCACCTTCCGTCACTGATTTATCTAGGCGACACGATCCTCGGCCTAACGCATTTATCGTCCATTGTGGTATTTCATTAACGCCGACATTCGTTACAGAATCCGTGAACGCCTGTTTTTGGAAGCCGAATCTTGCTTGGTGTTGAGCACGTTACTGCTTCTTACAGATGTCGCACGTATTATTGATTCTTTCGTCGGAAATAGTCACATCCTCCTCCCTCCCATCTCCTTCTTCTTACAGTACTTTTAACGAGCTATAAAGCCGTCATTCATGCGGTTTTCGATCGCTCCGAGCGTCGTCGACTTCTTTACACGTGAAACCATTTCACGCAAAAGCGAATCCGAATCTCCCTCAAACTGCATCACCAGAGCTCCTCTGGATATTCCTCAAGGTGAAAATTGTTGAAAATCGCCGATCTTGAGAATGAATCGATTTTTGAGCGCCGCTCACTGGTTTGTCCTCAATTAATTGGCTTGTAGTGACAACTACTTCAACATGAATACAATTCGCTATAAGAATTTTCACGGCCATCTTTTAACCATTCTAATTACGTGTTATAAAACTGCGTTCGCTCTAAGGGTCATCCCTTCCTACTTCCTCATGAAAAAATTGTCGATTTGGGCAACCATTACTGAACTTTTAGTCAAATAAACGTGTCCTTATGGATATGTTATCTGTTGCATCATTCGAGAGCAACACTTCTCTGGCTGTTCTGCAATATCTCATATTGACCCAACTGTGAAAAACTCGGCGCCTCGGTGGGATTCGAACCCACGCAGTACGGGGAAGGCTTTAGCGCAGCCAACGCTCTAACCACCTGAGCTACGAGGTCCCGCCGGACGACGTGAGTTTAATCACATTTGGGTCAAGTTACCCACCCAACCTACTGCAACGTCTGGAATCCACCAAATCTGATACAGTAAGTTGACTGCCCAGGCAGGATTTCCTAAGTAATTCACCTAGAATCCACCAGATGACTACCAGGCTCGCGTAATTCATAGGTATTTTGGCAGATTTTGAATAATTCATATTGACCCAACTGTGAAAAACTCGGCGCCTCGGTGGGATTCGAACCCACGCAGTAAGGGGAAGGCTTTAGCGCAGCCCACGCTCTAACCACCTGAGCTACGAGGCCCCGCCGGACGATGGTATTCATCTGGTGGATTCTAGGTGAATTACTTAGGAAATCCTGCCTGGGCAGTCAACTTACTGTATCAGATTTGGTGGATTCCAGACGTTGCAGTAGGTTGGGTGGGTAACTTGACCCAAATGTGATTAAACTCGCGTCGTCCGGCGGGGCCTCATAGCTCAGGTGGTTAGAGCGTTGGCTGCGCTAAAGCCTTCCCCGTACTGCGTGGGTTCGAATCCCACCGAGGCGCCGAGTTTTTCACAGTTGGGTCAATATGAATTATTCAAAATCTGCCAAAATATCAATGAGTTCTGCAATATCTTAGAGGAGCGCCCAGTGTCGAAGCCCATACTTAATTCTCGTGGTTGCATATGCTCGTCCGGTCAGGAAAATTCCATAGGGGGGAGGCCGCCATATTAGTGCGATGCGATCCAGAGCTGGTTTGGTGGAGTCGCGGATCTGGCATTAAACTCCAGATTTACTGTCATGCTTATTTTAATCAACGTCGTAATTTTGCTCTGCCCGCTACCCGAGCACTCAAATGGAACTATTTATTACGTCTGACTCAACTTTACATACTTGCGATAGGCGACCGCCATACATACAGTTGCGCAATGTACATGAGCCTTGTGTAGATATCTCCTATCTGCGAATTATGCGATATGCATAAAAACTAGCTCTTCGGACCCATTATCAGCAACAAACGGAATGTCCGTCGTTGGCCAGGTTGACGAACTATGCCAAATGGAGTTGCCTGTATACTAAATTAGACCGGAGGCTTCTCGCCGTGCGTTTCTGCGGCTTATGCGCGTTTAGCCAATGAAAAGTTTGCCTCCGACATGTCCGTTTTGGCCTGGTTGACTGACAAGCCCAATGACCTGGTCGCGTTAGCCAATCAGAACGCTGACCGTTTCACTAGTCGCAAATAAATGCCTGCCGCATGCGGCAATCCCGCCTCACACTAAGAAATGCCACAACAGCAGCCCATGCTCGACGGTACGGCTCATCTCGTCAGGAGTAATTCAGTCACTGAGGTTTCCTCTGTCGAATACCAGTCCCAAAAAGCCAGTCCGCCAGTGGGGCTACGCAAACCCAAGTGTGCTCGGTGTCGCAACCACGGGAGGATCGCGTGGATCAAGGGACATAAACGGTACTGTGCCTATCGTGATTGCACCTGTGAGCAGTGCCTCCTGGTGGTGGAACGTCAGCGCGTGATGGCTGCTCAGGTAGCCCTCAAACGCAGACAGGCTGTGGAGGACGCCCTCGCCATGGCCTCGCCAACGCAACCGGCAAACCTCGTTCCGTCCTCCAGCGGTGTCGTCGGCTACGAGGAGCCGCATACCTCAACTAAATGCCGCTTTTCGGACCGCTTCCCGCCGGAAAAAGCCGGCCTTGCAGATCTTCTGCCTCGAGAACCCGCCAAAGCATCTAGCCCCATCAAACGAGGTATGAGGCTGTAGCACTCAAGGTCTTAATATATGTCAGACTTTTAACCGGCCAAACCGGAGTAGGTTGATCAAGTGATTCAGGGAGCGTAAGTAGGAGTTTACAACCTGGCGACACTTGCAAATTCTGTGTCGGTAGCAAGGCTCGACCCGACTGTGGGAGCACTCGGAAGACCTTTAAACCGGTGATATTAAAGGAACTGTATGACAAATAGACAAAAATGATTTTCTTATAGGGAATTTATCGTACAGGCATCTCAGAAAAGGTTAACTGAAATTCTGAAGTGCGTTCTCGATTAGAAGAAGTGCCTAAGTAGGGTTGCAATACTGGTTAAAATGCTGCAAAATCTCGTAATATTTCAGTTACGCAAGGGTGCCGACTTTTGCGTGAGCTTCTTCCCGGTCGCCTGCATAAACAAAAATTGACAAGAATACTACTTAATTGGTGTGGACCTCTTCCATTAATTTTTGATGCTCTTACAAGCTCGAAAACACTTCATGGAAGGCATGCAACAAGTATATTTTCTTGCACTTATTTGGTAGCAGGGGACAATTTCTTCAAACTGCATAGTCAAAGAAAGGATATCTGTTGGTCTTAGGAGAGTTTTTCTGTTCCCAGATAATCTTGAATCTGATCTGCCGTTTCATTCGCTTTTGTTGTTTACCAGATACAAGCTGCATGCTTGCCTTGTATGGAGAATAAAATATTCCTAAGTAATATTAAGAAGATGTTATATGTGACTCTTACAGTCTTGCAGTATCTGTGGCGATCTCGTTTGGATGAACATTTCACGACACTAAAGATCACCTATTTACAAATTTTTACGACCTAAGTATGCTCTTTCTTCGAATAGAAAATCTGAAGAAGACTTTATTCGCCACCAAATGAGGACAATAAATAAATATTTTGCTCATGTTTTCCATAAAATATACTTGGATTTATAAGGCCATCTAAAATCAATGGAAAATATAATACTTATTAAGTAGTCGTTTTGCAGGCAGTCGAAAAGATGCCCCTTCAAACGTCGACATCTCGACGCGACTGAAATATCTTGGAATTGCGCTACACAGCAATCAGTCTTGCAACCTCCCTTCCCAAACAAAAAGGCATTTTGGATTTTCGGTTAACGTTTCGTGTATTTGTGTCTGCTACATAGCAAATCCCTGAATTCATTTACCTCCCTCCTCCCCGCATCTCCGGGATTTGTTAGCCCTTGTTCTGTATTTGAGGCTTTTTACTGGATATTTAATGGTCACGTAGTCTACAGCGACATGTGATTCAGTTTATTCCAGATGCAAAATCATTAAACGAAGTTGTCAGTATTACTACTATGATAAGTAATAAGATCCGCATTTTGTACTATCATCAACATTAGTAGTAATGATCTTATTAGCAGCATTTATGGTGATAGATGAAGGCGAATGCTCGAGTTCTAGGTGTATATATAAGTAAAGAAGAATGATCGAGCACCGGAACACTTTGTTTAATGTTCCGATGCTCAGTCATTTTTCTTGTTCACTTATATTAGTGGTAATATATAGTAGTGACCTGAATTCCGATCATAGCGTCACCAAACAACCTAGGGGGACTTCGATTGCTCGGCTAAGTACGTCTCTACCCAGCTCACTGCTTCCATACATCTTCCCTCCTACGCCATCTAGTTGGAGTTGAGCTTCAGCTTTTAAGTCAATGTCTCTAATTCTTCTGTTACCTTTCTCTGAAAGAGCAGGAGTCTTGGAGATCGACGGCTCTAGCCGTTGCAGCCTTATCTTTGCCACCGGCCAGTGTCACCGACAGAGACTGGAACGCTGGAAAAGATATTTCTGGGCGTGACTTAATAGAGAGCCCCAGGGCACACCGGGACGAGTGAGTTCCGTACCGCGACTGGTGTGCGTCACTCCACTATTGCCAACGTACCCGATCGCCAGGTCGCGTGTGTGGCACGTGTAGACGGGTTGTTTAGCTTTGTTGGTCCCCACGCCCGTACCTATGTGCCTCCGGTCGTCTTTGTGTTGACTTCTCGCTGGATCCGAGTGGGTGAACGGAGGAGAGAGTGAGATAGGCGCTTTGAAAGTCTGATCCAGTATAAACTGACTTACGCGCAAGTCACCGGTGCTACGTTCACTCCATGTAGGACAAGAGATAAAGGTCGTCGCTGGCAACGGCTGAACTGTCTATTTCCTCCCTACTCTTGCCCCTTCCCCTGGTAGACGATTCACCAACACTGCAGTCCATATGGCGGGACACGACTGGCATCACATTCGCCAGGACACGCGGACTGGAAAGTGCACTCCAGCTGTTGACACAGGACTCCTCGAGGACAGCGACCACCGATTCCCTGCTCTCCACCACTGGCAGTATCTCACCCTTTGAGTGCAGTAAGGAGACCGAGTGTCCCAGCGTCGAGGAGACCGCCAGACAGACTGCCGCTGCCGCCGTACGACTGAGCGGCGGTGAGGAGGTGAAATCAGCGCAGTGCTGGGCAGCCTACCCCTGGGAGGCCCACTCGTGGCCCCAAACCTCGCAACTTCTTTCCGCCCTGTTTCTCAGCCTTCCGCCCCCGCCGGGCGCGTTCCTGCATCGTCAGCCGATGGCACATCTCTGGTCGCAGCTGCCTCCGACCAGGCTGGAGGAAGAGGCGGCGCTGCAGGTGCAGCCGCTCTTTCCGTCGGCAGCGGCGGCGGACACCGAATTGTCACAACTTCTCTTCTTGCCGTCTGTGCACCATCACCATCAACAACAGGCAAAATTTAGGCAGTCTTTCGGCTGAACTGGTCCCCTCACCCGTCCTGTACTCCGTACTGTGTTAGTTATCCACAGTTGATGTCCCTTGAGTCGAATTTTTTATATTTATATAACGCAGCTTTATGCATAGATATACTATAATGACATCTTCCAAAAGGTGATTTTTCCTATGGGAGTCCTCAGGGCTGTATCACGGGGGGGGCTGGGGGGAGTTAGGTGGGCCCAAGTTCATGAGGACAGTTCAAAAGAAAAAAACACTTTAGATGTCATTTCGGGATGGCGTTCACTGTACTTGCTTGAGTACATATGGATTACGACCTTTCATTTACAGCCCTCTGCTTCTGCTGGCATCCTCTCGAGCGTTTCCATGGCAATAAGTGGTCAGTAGGGAACATTTAAGGAGTCACAGTGATCGATGTGCTCATAGCGCACTAACAGCGAATCAAAATGAGCCGAGGTCATCTGCCCCACTAGAGAGATACTTGATGTCACCGACGTCTGACAGAAGGCAAAGATGTGAAGATGAGCTAGCTAGTGTGACCGAAACTTGTACCAGCCTAGGAGTACACCGCGCAACGGTTTATATACACTGACTTAAGCAAAGTTAGTAAGGGTTCGTTTAGAAAGTGTTCAGCTAATAGAATTATTAGAAAAAGCTGCGTATAAAGAAGAATGTAGCACAGTAATTGTCATACACAAAGACATCGAAGAAAGAAATGACAATTTCCAGCGTTTTAATCATCGTCAGTCAGCTAATCGTGGCCACGAGTCGTGACAGTCAGGCCAAAGTCACACGCACGTGACTTATAATGCTGTCGATTTGGCGGACAGTCGGCTGGCAAGTCACCCAAGTGTTTAAGCTTCCAGCTACATGGCTAACTGAACTGGGCATTTTAGGTGAGAGTTCGACAACATTTTGTGCTATCTACGAAAACCCTGTCCTCTTGCGTTCTTTCACATGCAAACAAAACTTTCCTAAATCTCTGGGTGATCGGGGTATAGGCATGAATTTGTAATCTATGAAGGCACAAGCCGTGCCTCCGCCCCCCACAAACAAGTTCTGTTTCATAAGATGGCAGGCATCAGAGCCAGCCTAATGACGGAAACAGGTTGGTCACAAGAGTCATGATAGACGGAGTACCGAGTATCCCCGCTGCCGGCAGAGGCGGCCCCCTGTAGGCAAGCAGAATCAAATTCGGAGATCGATGGTTCAGTTCCACTCCGAGCAAACGTTCCCTGGTTGGATGATTTTAGTATCGCCATTGTCTGTAACAGTTAAACCCGTCGATTCAGTCCGAAATGACGAGGTGTGGACAGAAACTACGGTCTACCTTAGAACACACCGGGAATTGGGCTTAGAGGACCCTGCACTGGGGGTATGAATTGCGCTTAGTCACCAGTGGTCCGGACAATGTTTAACTATTTGCAGAGTGTCCTGCTCCTGACAGAACAATCTTGAATCCGATTCTCAGCTTCTCCGGCAAAATCGCCGTCGTCAGTTGGTTATATTTAACCTCAGGTCTGGATGGCCGGGGGTTTTGAACTCGGATTCTTTGGTCGCCGAGGGGCTTCAAGTTCAGCGCTCTACCATTGAACCGTAGTCCGTTGTCCTGTCGGTTGTTGTCAGGAATACTATGGTTGAAGCAGCAGTCACTGATCAGGTTGCGGGACATGCTCAACCTGTTACGTGGTCACATATGCAGAGTAAGGCGTACTGGCAAAAGCAAAGGAGACTGGGGTGGCGGTTTCGGACTTATTAGCTGTCCTCAGCCAGTCATACCCAATCCCAGTTCTGCATAGCTTGAGACTTGAAGTCAGATTCTTTTATTAATAGGAGGCAAGCAAAATGCCCTACAAGTGAGCCACGACCAACTGAAGATAACTAATAGGCCAGAAATGGTCGTCCCAGCTTCCCCTGTCGCTGCCAAGACTCCTTTTCTGCATATAGTGCTGGCTGCTTTGAGACCTACGCGAGGTCTTTAGACTGAGTCACAAGGCGTAACGGGACACGCACATTCCGATAGTTCAAACGAACGACCATGATGCGAACTGTTGTACTTTTCGGCCAATATGCAGTATTTGAGATCGTTCTGTGTTGAATTTATCAAATATTCGTCAACAGCGGTCTATGCATCGGGAAAACACCGGTGTGGCTGGCAATTCGCATTCAAACGTCAGCCAAAGCACTAATTGTCAATTCCTGCCTTCTTGTCGAGAAATTGTCGTTCTGTTTTCAACAATGCCCATGATTTGGAGCTACCTTTGTCGAAAAAAGAACACAGCAGAACTGAAGTTGTCTGCCTTCAAGAGACCTGGTTAAATAGTGACACTGATTCGCAACTTATTACTCCCCCATCCTTCTACTGCTTTCGAACAGATAGAAAATCTTTATCTTGTGGCAGCGGTGGAGGCGTTGTCATTTTCGTTAATCAAAATTGATGTAGAGACTGTAAGTCCCTTTTTTCTTACTCTGATGATTTGATAGATGTCATCGCTGTTTTATGTAAGCCCCTTTTGTTAAGTAGTTTTAAAGGCACCATATTTGTTAGTGTTTACATTCCCCCCTCTTCCTGTGAAGGCGCACTAACCCGTTTTTCGACTTTCTCTCACAAAAACTTGGGATATTATCCTGCGACTATCTTATTCTCTTATGCGGTGATTTTAATCGCGTGAATTTACGTCCCCTTCCACTTTTAGGCTTCGATGATCTTGTCTCCTTTAATACTCGCGCAGATGTCCCTCTTGATCATATTCTGACTAACCACAGAAAGCTTTTTGCGTAAAAAATAGGGCTCCATTTATAGGTTCTGACCAGTCCACTTTATTGTGTCTTCCAAAAATCTATTCCACTTCTAAACGTGCACTGCTAGCCAAGCCTGAGAGAAAGGTTAAGGTTCGCAACACGTCCGCCCAAAACATTCTCCTGCTTCAGACTTGCATTTCTCTTACTATCCCCACTTTCCTTGAACATTCTAATATTGAATCCTGTTCTTCCAACCTGACAGCGTTTTTAAATGAAATTTTCGATATTTGCTGCCCTCTTGACGCTGTTATGGTGCGACCGTACAGAATTTCTTCCCCCTATCTGAAATCGTTAAGACGTAAAAAGAACTCCTTTACAAGCTAGGATTACGTGAGAGCCTTAAGAGCGTTACCGTCTTAATAAAAACAGAGACTGACAGACTAAATAGCCTGTTTGTCAGCCAACTACCCTGCCAGCACATTGCTCCTTCATAGGCGGGGCTGGAAGGGGCTGGGTGGGGCCAGAGCCCCGCCTGCCAGCACATGGCTCCTTCATAGGCGGGGCTGGAGGGGGCTGGGCGGGGCCAGAGCCCCCTCTGGATTGAAGCCTTTTGAAGCGTATTTGCATCGAAAGATATGTTCCAAAAGCACCACTTATTGTACCTTCTTTGGAATTTAAAGGAGCTAATTTATCAAAATTGGCTTATAAACCATGGAGAAAGCATCCGTTTACGCCCACTGAATGTAGCTGCGGATGAGCACAATATATTGAGGTTTTGTTTAAGTCCCTCATTGCTTAAACTCTTATTTGTCCACCGGTTTACAATCTGTGTGTGTTATTAATTCGTATATTTGACAATGGGGACGATATTTTAAAGTGGTGCCAAAAGTGGGCTGAGATGTGGCGTCCCCTGCGCATTTTTTTTCGCTGGCGGGGCTAGGCGGGGCTATCGCGTTGCATGCCCCGCCACAGCCCCCTCCACAGCCCCGCCTAGCCCCCTCATAGCCCCCTCTAGCCCCGCCATTATTGAGGGGGCCAGGCGGGGCTAGGCGGGGCTGGTGCTGGCAGGGTATTTTCCTCCTCTTCCTCCCCCCTTTCCCCCCTTCCTCAGCTGAGATTTGGAAAAATCTTAAGCGTCTCACTGGTCATCGAAACACACTGCTGCATGTGGATGCAGATTTAGACTCCCTAAATAAAAATTTTATATTTAGTCACAATGACTCCCATCTTCCCTTAGATGATATTCCCCTATCACCGTGTAAATTCCAACCCGTGTCTTTGGCAACAGTAGAGAAACACCTTAAAAAGGTCCGTGGATCAACAGCTGTCGGACCGGACGGTGTCTCTCCTTTTTTCTTAAATCTTGCAGTTCTCAGATAGCCCCTATTTTAACGCACCTAATCAATATGTCTTTCATGGAGTCCAAGATTCCCGACGCCTGGCGTACAGTGAGAATTACTCCCATCCATAAAAAACCCGCTAACTTTGGTCCTAAATCTTTTCGCCCAATTGCCTGCTCCTCTGCAATACTAAAGCTTGCTGAGAGTTGCCCTAGATATCATAAAGCCTTTTTCTTCCAGTTTCTCCGACCCTTTACAGTTTGCATACAAAGCCAAACGGAGTACTTTAGATGCTGTCGCTCTTGTGGTTCACTCAGCTCTAAAAGCATTAGACAAGGGTTGCCGCGAGTATGCGTGCGCTTTTTTGATCATTCCTCCGCCTTCAATAGCGTCCCCCGCCCGCTTCTCCTTACCAAAACCTCCGCGTGCAGCTCTCCAGGCTGGGTCGTCTCTTGGCTTACCGATTATTTTACCTTCCGCACTCAATTTGTCCAACCTGGCAAGCGGAAATCTTCGACCCTTCCCAATGACTGCGGTGTTCTTCAAGGTTCCATTCTATCCCCTCACCTTTTCTCCCTCCACACTGACGATCTAAGGTCCCCTAATTACTGTCTTTTGGTCAAGTATGCTGATGATGTGGTTGTTGGACACCCTCTCAAAAGTCAGACACACCTCCAGTCTCTAAAGGATGGCCTAAACCATGTCCTAGCGTGGTCGGAGGAAAATGGTCTCCGAAATAACAACCAAAAATCCGTTCAGTGTATTTTTCGACTGCGGCCCTCTCCTAATCCTGATTCCTCTGACATTCCTCCTAACGAAGTATCCTCTTTCAGGTACCTGGGTGTTACTTTGTCCTCAAATCTTTCATTTTCCCTCCATATTGAATCCCTATTTATTAAAGTTCGTAAACTTCTTTACTACATACGTTGTTTACGCTCCAAC